GAAGGATGTGAGTCCAAGTGATAACTGGGGAATTTGGGCACCACATGTTTGGGAATGGGGTCTATTGGCCCCTAGGAGAGCCAGAGAGGCATTGGGTTCATCACTTTGGGGAAAGGAGGATGTGCAGAATTCAGTGTTTCTGTTGGGGGACCTTGGAGAGGTCTACCAATTCCTGTATGCTTTTGTGAGGTGTGTCATCTCCCATCGTGGTATGGAATAGATTTCCTTATTTCTCTCCCCTTCTTCGCAGCTGGTGAAACTGGCTAAACGCCTCAAGAAGGAGAAAGTAAATGTTGACATTATCAATTTTGGGGAAGAGGTGAGTAAGGACCATTCGGGAGGCATTGACTGCTGTGGTTGTAAACAGAGAACAGTCCTTACCCAGAGGAGTGTCTGCATGTGGGAGAGTAGCTACAGACAGGAGCTGACATGGCAGAGAATGGGGGGCAGGGCGAGAAGGAGAGCCTCCTATGTTCTTCCCTCCCCAGGAGGTGAACACAGAAAAGCTGACCGCCTTTGTAAACACGCTGAATGGCAAAGATGGAACCGGTTCTCATCTGGTGACAGTGCCTCCTGGGCCCAGCTTGGCTGATGCCCTCATCAGTTCTCCAATTCTGGCTGGGGAAGGCGGTGCCATGCTGGGTCTTGGTGCCAGTGACTTTGAATTTGGAGTGGATCCCAGTGCTGATCCTGAGCTGGCCTTGGTGAGCAAACGTTGACCTCAGGGGACCTTCCTTGTCCTCCTCTACTGGTCCACACGGCACATAGCTTCTCTAGGGCTAGACAGTCCTAATACCCTTGCTCGTTTTCCCAGAGCCCCTCTTGGTCCCTCTTCCCCACAGTTCTGTCTGATCTCTAGGGATACCAATGTCAGACTCTCTCTTGTTCACTTCTCCCCGTTAAACCCCAGGTTTCTCCCAAGTCCGTCCTTTTTTGCTATATCACCTGTTATCTCTCCAGCCCCTTCCCCATGTGTATAAACCAGAAGCTCCCCCTTTACGGTTTGTTCCCACCCCTCAGCTGCGTTCCCCAGCTGCCTTCCCTGGTGCCCAGGGCTGGAGAATGTCTGACTTCCCTTGCCCTTGGCCAGGCCCTTCGTGTTTCTATGGAAGAGCAGCGGCAGCGGCAGGAGGAGGAGGCGCGGCGGGCAGCTGCCGCCTCTGCCGCTGAGGCCGGAATTGCTACGACTGGGACTGAAGGTGAAAGAGGTGGAATCTGAAGTCCCGGGACTGTGGGGTGCTCAGTGGAGGCCTGGTGTAGATGGGGGTGGGGGGTCTGGCAGTGTGGGAACGCGTGGGCTTGGGGGTGGGTCTTTGTGGAATATGGCATGGTTCCACCCCGCCGCTCTCTCCCTTTTCCCAGACTCGGACGATGCCCTGCTGAAGATGACCATCAGCCAGCAGGAGTTTGGCCGCACGGGGCTCCCCGACCTAAGTAGTATGACCGAGGAAGAGCAGATTGCATATGCCATGCAGATGTCCCTCCAGGGCGCAGGTGAGCCAGAACCTGGGTGGTTGTGCTGAGGCGGAGACATTGGGTGAAGACATGAAACTGAACGGACTGACCTCTTTTCCTCAGAATTTGGCCAGGCAGAATCAGCTGACATTGATGCCAGTTCAGCCATGGACACATCTGAGCCCGCCAAGGTAAGGGCCAACAATAACTCCCTGCCCCATCAGGCTTAAAATCCCCTTGTGTTCAGATCCTCAGCCCACTAGGCCTGGGACTGTTCCTCTCTTGGGGTTTCATAGATGAGCTCTTACAGGAGCAGAAGGAAAGAAACACATGGATGTACATTCCTTGTATGTCAACCTTGCTAAGGCAAGAATGCTAGTGGCCAGAGTTGGAGAGGTGTCCTGGTATTTTGTAATTTTCCTTCCTTGCTGGTGGGAGCAGTCTGGACAATTCTCAGTGCTATCATCTTCCCAGGAGGGTGAAGAAAGGGTCCAGGAAAAAAGGGGGAGAGTGGGTGTCTGACAGCAGGAAACCTAAAGGTGATGGCATCTGTTTTTATCCTTTGAGCTCAGAAAGCAGAGTTCTCAGGCTTCTCCTCTAATCGGTCAGTAATAAATGTTTGGGGGAATTCTCTGGTGGTCCAATGGTTAGGACTTGGCACTTTCACTGCCGGGGGCCTGGGTTTGATCCCTGGTCGGGGAACTAAGGTCTCGCAAGCCGCGCCAGTGGGGCCGAAAAACTAAACGAAAATAAATGTTTGAGTTCATACTGTGTATAGGCGCTGGGTATCTTCCCAAATCCTCCTTCCTGTCCTTGGCCAGAGGTGCCCTCCATCCCCAGTCAGGTGCGCTCCCATCCTCCTGCACTTGCTTGCTCCCCGGCCAGCCTACCCCCGCTGCCCCGAGCTGACACAGCCCTTTTTCAGGAGGAGGATGATTATGATGTGATGCAGGACCCCGAGTTCCTTCAGAGTGTCCTGGAGAACCTTCCAGGTGTGGATCCCAACAATGAGGCCATTCGAAATGCCATGGGCTCCCTGGCTTCCCAGGCCACCAAGGATGGCAAGAAGGACAAGAAGGAGGAGGACAAGAAGTGAGACTGGAGGGAAAAGGGAGCTGAGCCTGTGCAGGGGGCCGAGTAGGGTAGGGTGGGATATAGAGTTAGATGCGTTGTCTGTGACCACTGCAACCTAAATAAAGCTTGGCAACTTTTTTTCTTTTTTGCTTCAAACAGCGGTAGCTTTGAGTGTGACCATTCCCCTTCCACCCATCTCCACCCCTGACAATCCTTCCTTAGGAAAAACTTTGCTGAGAGCCACCTGTGCTAGGCACTGGGGCCACAGAGGGGAACAGAAAACAGTACTGGCCTCTGGCCTTTTTTGCTGTATCACCTGTTATCTCTCCAGCTCCTTCCCCATGTGTATAAACCGGAAGGGCCAGCCTGTAAATGAGCAGTACCTGCGTCTAATAAGTGTCCAAAGAGAGGCCTGAACAGGCATTGTGGAAATGCTGAGGAGAGAGCGCCAAACCCTTGCAGCCTCTGGGAAGGCCCCTGGAGGCAATGTTTGAGCCCTCATCAGCCAGCGAGCAAGAGATAGGGATGCTTCCAGTCCGCAGGAACAGCGTGTGCTGATGGCGCAGAGGCACTTTGTCACTCAAAGACCGGTTGGGCGAGTGACAGGAGATGGAGGTGGAAAAGTCGGCAACAGTCAGAACACCAAAGGTCAGGGATCTTTGAGGCCTGACTTTCTCAAGGTGGGGTCTGTGATGTGTCTCCTTGGAGCACCAAATTTAGAGGAAGGTTTTTTGTGGGGCATGGACTAGAATGCACAATTCACATAATCTCCCCCTTTGTTTATTATATTTGAAGAGGTAAATAATATTTTACACATAAAATACTTAACCTATATATAAATTGTTACGTGTAAGAAAACTGACATATCTGAAACCACTCAATGTAAGAGCTGGAATATTCCTAACACCTTGTCACATACCTATGCCTTTTTTTTTTTAAACATCTTTATTGGAGTATAATAGTTTTACAATAGTGTGTTAGTTTCTGCTTTATAACAGAGTGAATCAGTTATACATATACATGTGTCCCCATATCTCTTCCCTCACCTATGCCTTCTTGAACCCACCTCTTTACAGCCTCCTCAGACATAACTGTTATCTTGAATTTCATATGATTTTTTCCCCTTCACAGTTTTCTCATATACATAAAGATTTCTGACGAGAATGTTTAGTTTTGTATGTGTTTGAGCTTTATAAAAAATAGTTTTAGGGAATTCTCTGGTGGTCCAGTGGTTAGGACTCGGCGCTTCCACAGCTGGGGCCCCGGGTTCAATCCCTCATCGGGGAACTGAGATCCCACAAGCTGAGTGGCATGGCCAAAAAAATTAAAAAATAGTTTTATACTGTGAGACTTCTGGGACTCACTTTTTTTTTTTTTTCTTTCTTGCGGTACGCGGGCCTCTCACTGTTGTGGCCTCTCCCATCGCGGAGCACAGGCTCCGGACGCGCAGGCTCAGCAGCCATGGCTCACGGGCCCAGCCGCTCCGCAGCATGTGGGATCTTCCCGGACCGGGGCACAAACCCGTGTCCCCTGCATCGGCAGGTGGACTCTCAACCACTGCGCCACTAGGGAAGCCCCCAGGACTCACTTTTTAAACAAATGTTTTGTTTCTGAGGTTCATCAGAGTTGCTGCACATAGCTGCTGCTTGTTCATATTTCATGGTTGTATATATATCATGTGAATATTCTACAATCTCTCCATTTTCCTGTGGATGGATCTGGCATTGCTTCCAGTTATTTTTCTATTACCAACAGGATCACAATGGAATTTTTCGTACACCTCTCTGGATGCACCTGTACAGGAGTTTCTTTAGAATACTTTACAGGATAATGCTGAATTGTTTTTCAAAGTGGTTGTATGAATTTGCACTCCTTCCTGCAGTATAAGAGTTCCTATTGACCACATCCTTTTCAGCCCTAGGGATCATTAAAAGTTCTTAATTTCGTCCAAACTGGTGAGGATAAAATGATAACTCATGGTCTCCTTTTTTTTTTTTTTTTTTTATATTTGGCTGTGTTGGGTCTTTGTTGCTGCACGCGGGCTTTCTCTAGTTGCGGCGAGTGGGGGCTACTCTTCGTTGCGGTACACGGGCTTCTCATTGCAGTGGCTTCTCTTGTTGCGGAGCACGGGCTCTAGGCGCGCAGGCTCAGTAGTTGTGGCTCATGGGCTTAGTTGCTCCACGGCATGTGAGATCTTCCTGGACCAGGGCTCGAACCTGTGTCCTGTGCATTGGCAGGCGGATTCTTACCACTGCGCCACCAGGGAAGCCCTCTTTTCACTTTTTTTTTTTTTTTTTTTTTTTTTTTTTTTGGAGTACGCGGGCCGCTTACTGCTGTGGCCCCTCCCGTTGCGGAGCACAGGCTCCGGACGTGCAGGCTCAGCGGCCATGGCTCACGGGCCCAGCCGCTCTGCGGCATGTGGGATCTTCCTGGACCGGGGCACAAACCCGTGTCCCCTGCATCGGCAGGTGGACTCTCAACCACTGTGCCACCAGGGAAGCCCGCTCTTTTCACTTTTTTTAAAGGTATCCTTTAGTAACCAAAATTCTTAAATTTAATGTCAAATTTCTCAATCTTTCAAAGTTAGTGTTTCTGCATCCAGCACACTCTTTTCTAGGTCAGAAAAATAATTCTGTTTTCTTTTGAAAGTTCTATGGTTTTGCCTTTCATATAGAAATTCTATATTCCATCTAGAATTGATTTCTGTGTACACTGAGAAAGGGATCCAATTTCAATTTTTTAACATGGAAAACCATTTGTTATGGCATTGTTTAATTGAAAAAAAACCCTCCTTTCACTGTACTACTTTTCTTTTTTTTTTGGCTGCTTGTTTTGGGTCTTTGTTGCTGCATGCGGGCTTTCTCTAGTTGCAGTGAGCGGGGGCTACTCTTCGTTGTGGTGGGCGGGCTTCTCATTGCGGTGGCTTCTCTTGTTGCGGAACCCGGGCTCTAGGCACACGGGCTCAGTAGTTGTGGCTCGCGGTCTCTAGAGCGCAGGCTCAGTAGTTGTGGTGCACGGTCTTAGTTGCTCTGCAGCATGTGGGATCTTCCCAGACCAGGACTCGAACCCGTGTCCCCTGCATTGGCAGGTGGATTCTCAACCACTGCGCCACCAGGGAAGCCCTCACTATACTACTACTTCTGCCTGGGCCAAGATTCCATGAATTTCATTTCCAGTATCCTGAAGTCAGACCTTAAAGCCTACATGTAAACAAGCTTCCACCAAATGAAGCTAGAAAACCTACTTTGTGCTTACCTTATATTCATATTGGATGAGTTCTATTTCTGAATAATGAAGTTGTAAATGCTTGTGTCTAAATTTTAGAGGGAGACTGGTTTTGTTTTGAATCAAATATTACTTGAAAGAAATGTCTCATCATCTAGGGCTTGGGAATCTTTTATAGGTGTTGGTTATAAAGATATTGGTCACTTTGGCTTTCCTGGGCTTGCGTGTAGTTCCCCAGCAAAATCATGTTCTGGCGAAGTCTACCCATCAAGTCACGATGGGACCTGTGTCCCAGTCTCTGGTTCTCTGCATACCAACTGGGTGACTTCAGTGTTCATGAGGATGACTCAGCCAACACCTTGGCCTCTTCCAGTTCAGAGATGATCATCACAGTTCATAATCTTTTGTACTCAACGGCACCACCTTAAGAAATGCTCCCTGCTGGAGTCAAATACTCACTTGGCCCATGGACCTCTCTCTTTTCAGATCTCCCACATTAATACTCCATGTATGCTTTTCAACAGTACTGTGAAAAATGTGTGTACTCTGGGCAATTCCACTTCAGGAACTTACTCTAAATAATCGGTGATGTGCCAAAGACATGTACAAGGGTGATGAAAAAATGAAAACAACGTAATATCCAACAATTACGTTACATTATTATGGAATAATACACTATCAATAAATTTATTTTGGAAGAACATTTAATGGCATTGCATATATGATTATAATATTAGCAAATGCTTGTATAACACAATGTGCCAGGGACTATTCTAAGTGCTTTACATGTTTTAAGTCATATAGCTTTCACAACAACCCTATGAGGTAGCTGTAGCATTATTAGTTCTGTTTTATAAATAAGGAAACTGAAAGCCAGAGAAGGTAGGTAACTTACTCTACAGTGATGGTTCTGACAATGTGGTCTGTGAACCCCTAAGGGTCCCCAAGACCCTTTCAGGGGGTTTGTGAGGTCAAAACTATTTTCATAATAATACTGTGCCATGATGTTATTCGCCTCTTCCACTGCGTTGACACTGGCACTGATGCCAAAGCCGTGGGGGTAAAAGTGTTGGTGCCTTAGCACAAATCCAAGGCGATGGCACGACACTGTGCTGGCCGTCATTGTGTCCGTCACCCCCATACACCCCTGGCTTGAAAAAAACCAAAAACTGTCTGTGATGAAGCGTTAAAACAAATTAATTGTATTAAATCTCAACCCTTGAGTTTACATACTTACTATGTTTGAGGTAAAGTGGGAAATACCCATAGAGCACTTGGCCGCGTCCTGGAGTACAGTGATTGACCTGGGGAAGGGCGCTTGTGCGGCTTTTTGAGTCGTGAGATGAACTAGCCACTTTTCCACAGAATAACATCTTTACTTGAACAAGCTATGGTTACTCAGACTTGGATGTTTGGTAAACACTATCTCAAAAATAAATGGAGTGAGCCTCACTTCAGGAAAAGCAACTACAGTTTTTGTTGTCTGTGATGAAATTTGAGTTCTCAAGTGAAATTTTGAATTTTGGAAAACTTATGTGTGCCACAGTGAACTTGACATTCTCAAAATCTTTTAGATGGATATTAATAAATTTCTATTATGTATCAAAATTGTATATTGTAGTGTGCCAACATTAGGAAGATCTGCATTATGCAGTGAACCAATATTCTCCAAATAATCCATTTCAAATGCAAAAAAAAAAGCAATGGATTCAAATGTAACAGGTTGCAAAAAGTTCACTGATACGGTTTTGGATCCCACATTGTGACTAATCTTTTAGAAACTACTGTGTATCAAGGTTTGGTGTAGTATCAAAAATATCCTCAGCTGTTGGAAAAGGGTTTTGAAATATTCCTCCCTTTTTTAACAACATATCTGTGAGGCTGGATTTACAGCAACATTTTGCAACAGACTGAATGCAGACACAAATATGAGAATCCAGCTATATTCTGTTAAAGAGACTTGCAAAAATGTAAAACAGTGCATCCTTCTCATTACATTTTTGTTTTGGAAAATATAGTTAATTTTTCATGAAAACTGAATTATGTTAACATGTAATAGGTTTATGGTTGCTATTTCTTAATGGATTAATATTTAAAATTTTCTGTTTTAGTTTCTAATATAGTAAATATCAATATATATAATTTACGTAAACAAAAGCTCTTGGGAATCTTCAGGTTTTAAGAGGATAAAGTCATCTTAAGACCAACAAGTCTGAGAACGGTTCTACAGCCTGGGAGTGATGGAGCGGAGGACAGCACCCAGGAAGTTTGGCTGTAGAATCCATGCTCTTGCGACTGAATTAGACACAAACCTCTCCTCTTGGGGCCCTAGCTGAACCCAAGTCCCCCTGGCTATTCAAGGTCTTCTTTCCTGCTCAAGTTCGAGTGGCCAATGATGAAACTGAGTTTGGTGCAAGCAAGACACGCTTTTATGCAATGGCCAGAGAACAGAGAAGGGGGGTTCTAAAAGCACCTTCTCCCTAAAGGGAGGGGTGTAAGGGAATTTTAAGGGTTAGGAGGCAGACAGTCATTGGGGCTCTAGGAAAGGGGCAGGGATTTTCAGGGGCAGCCGTGGCATGTGCAGTCTTCCACATTCCTTTGCACATGGCATAAACTGTTCTGGTAAAGTGCAAATGCCCCCTTTGTGTGGAAATCTTAGCAGGGTAGTGAAGCAAAGGTAACACTTGGACTGCTTCAGGTTTCATCTATGCAGGCGGGTTGCTGAGGTCAATTCAGAGCTGGTTTGGGGGCAGTTGAACACTGTGTATCTTGCAAAGTACAGCTGCAAAGCATCTCTGCCAAATAGCAGGTACATTCGAAGCAAACAGATAAATCAGGGCAAGTGTCCTTCAGTTCTCAGGGGTTGGTATGGAAACACAGAGATGAATCAAGGCAAGGAAAGCGGCGACCTTTAGCCTACTTTGTCCACCATCTTGGACCTAATCTGTTCAGTATGGTTTTTTTCTCTGGCCTTTGTAACCTGTTGATAAAAGAAAAGTAGCCTGTCAGTTTCAGCCTCCGAGGCCTGGGCTGCATAGCATGGGTGACACTTAAATGTTTAATTATACCTATTGTTTCCAAGATTAACGCTAGGCCTGCCAAGACAGAGGTGAAAATGTCTTAGTATTTATTTCTGGAGGATAGAAACCCAGATTTGTGGTGAGGTGTTGCTTTTATGAATGTTTGAAAATGTTTCAGAATGTTACTTTTGTAGTACAGGAAAACGTAAAAATACTTCTTTGAACTCAATTTCTTTTACTGATAGCTTCTTCCTTGCTTAGTTTCCATCTCTAATGAGCAAAGACCTCATAACCTATCATTTAAAGTACTATCTTGCCAATAACTTCATCTCCCAAGCTCCGTTTTACCCCACACTTGCCCGGCTAAACCCCAAGCATGGATTGGTTCTCAACCATCTACCTTTTCAGCTTTTTCTTCTAGACTTGTCACGTTCAGAGAGGTTAAGTCATTTGAGCAAGGATGCTTAGCTAATGAGGGGTCAGAACCAAGATCAAAACCCAGTCTATCTCACTGGAATGTGAGCCATCACAAAACAGCTATTTCCCATTATCAGCAGCCCTCTCACCATTTCCCTGCAGCAATGACTTCATCACACCTTCCTTTTCTCCCCTGTCACTCTCAGCGGAAGATGTCACCATGACAGAGGGAGGCAAGGCCCTCAGGAAGTCTGAACCCCTTCCCTCCCACCTCCTCCAGCCCCTCCTGGCAGCAGTTATGTCCTCTCTCCTGTCTCTTCTGTCTTCAGAATCTGCTCTGCCAGTGCTTTCCACTTGGCATGTACACATCAAGTCCACGCTATCAATAACCTTACCTGAGACTTTATACTTTGCTGGTTGATGTTTTATTTTACAATGTATATTTCCTTCATAATAACAAAAATATTATAGGTTATGGAAAGGGAAAATGCTCACGATGTATGAAATGAAACAAGCATCCTTCAAAGTTCCCAATTTTTATTCAAATACATGTGGGTGAATTAAAGGACCGTCACATAAGGATGATGTCACCTCTGTCAACTGGGTTTATAGAAGAATTGTCTATTCACTCTTCTGAGCTTTTTTTTTTAAGGTCTATTTATTATTTTTTTATTTTATTTATTTTTGGCTGCATCGGGTCTTAGTTGCAGCACACGGGATCTTTCGTTGCGGCACGCGGGCTTCTCTCTAGTTGTGGTGTGTGGGTTTTCTCTTCTCTAGTTGTGGTGCGCAGGCTCCAGAGCACGTGGGCTCTGCAGTTTGGGACACGCGGGCTCTAGTTGAGGTGCACGAGCTCAGTAGTTGTGACGCAGGGGCTTAGCTGCCCGTGGCATGTGGGATCTTAGTTCCCTGACAAAGGATTGAATCTGCGTCGCCTGCATTGTAAGGTGGATTCTTTACCACTGGACCACCAGAGAAGTCCTTTCTGTGCTTTCTGAGTTGCATGAAAAGAATATGTAACTACTTTGTAATCAGAAAAGCTCACATGTTGTCTTTCAAAAATAAAATCACGAGGACTTCCCTGGTGACACAATGGTTAGGAAACTGCCTGCCCATGCAGAGGACATGGGTTTGATCCCTGGTCTGGGAGGATCCCACAGGCCATGGAGCAACTAAGCTGGTGTTCCACAACTGCTGAGCCTGCGCTCTAGAGCTTGTGAGACACAATTACTGAGCCCTCATGCCACAACTACTGAAGCCTGCACGCCTAGAGCCCGTGTTCCGCAACAAGAGAAGCCACCGCAATGAGAAGCCCACACACAGCAATGAAGAGTAGCCCACGCTAACTGCAACTAGAGAAAGCCCATGCACAGCAACAAAGACCCAATGCAGCCAAAAAAAAAAAAATAATTAATTTTTAAAATTCTTTAAAAAAGATGGAGCTGGGGCTTGCCTGGTGGCGCAGTGGTTGAGAGTCTGCCTGCTGATGCAGGGGACACAGGTTCATGCCCTGGTCTGGGAAGATCCCACATGCTGCGGAGCGGCTGGGCCTGTGAGCCATGGCCACTGAGCCTGTGTGTCCGGAGCCTATGCTCCACCACGGGAGAGGCCACAACAGTGAGAGGCCAGTGTATCGCAAAAAAAGAAAAAGAAAAAAGATGGAGCTGGAGGAATCGGGCTCCCTGACCTGAGAGTATACTACAAAGCTACAGTAATCAAAACAGTATGGTACTGGCACAAAAACAGAAATATAGATCAATGGAACAGGATAGAAAGCCCAGAGATAAAGCCACACACCTATGGTAACCTAATCTATGACAAAGGAGGCAAGAATATACAATGGAGAAAAGACAGTCTCTTCAATAAGTGGTTCTGGGAAAACTGGACAGCTACATGTAAAAGAATGAAATTAGAACACTTCCTAACACAGTACACAAAAATAAACTCAAAATGGATTAAAGACCTAAATGTAAAGCCAAACATTATAAAACTCTTAGAGGAAAACATAGGCAGAACACTCTTTGACAAGATCTTTTTTGACCCACCTCCTAGAGTAATGAAAATAAAAACAACAATAAATAAATGGGATCTAATTAAAACATTTTGTATAGCAAAGGAAACCATAAACAAAACAAAAAGACAACCCTCAGAATGGGAGAAAATATTTGCAAATGAAGCAACCGACAAAGGATTAATCTCCAAAATATACAAACAGCTCATGCAGCTCAGTATCAAAAAAACAAATTACCCAATTCAAAAATGGGCA